AAAAATTAATGAGATTTCACTGGTTTGGATGGTTGTGCCTCAGTCTGATGTAGAGAGACACACGCTGGCCAAGTACCTGATGGAATTGACGCTTCTTGACTACAACATGGTGCACTATCGGCCCTCTGAGATCGCTGCTGCTTCTCTGGCGCTCTCCCAGCTGCTGCTGGTAGCCCTGCCCTGGGTGAGTGATGGCATTTGAGGGGCATCTACACTTAAAATGTTTAATTTTCCTGGTGGTAATTTTTCTGTCTTGTCTCAGTCTCCTCAGCAGCAACACTACTCCACTTATGACGCCACCCATTTGAAGCCCATCATGCAGCACATCGCCAAAAACATAGTGATGGTCAACGAGGGGAAGACAAAGTTCAAAGTGAGTTCAACGACCAAGTATAAGCATTAAAGTTTTGATTTGTTGCAAAAATAAAACCCTTTTTCCTCTGCAGGCTGTGAAGAACAAGTACTCGAGCAGCAAGCTGATGAAGATCAGCCTCATCCCTCATCTGAACTCGGCTATCGTCAAGACCATGGCAGCCGCTCTGCTCAGCAATCCTTGAGAACTTTTAGATCATCAGTGGATGTTTCATTTGCACTTTATTTAAGATTGATCGCAATCTGTGGAAACTAGACTTCAAATGTTTTTATTTTTGCGCAAAGTTCAAAATTTTAGCCACTGTTTTTGCACGGATTATGTTTTGACGAAACTCTTTACGGTACATCAGATGTTCCTCCAATGCACCTTGAACTGCAGTTCCAAGCTAGCGTTTAGATGATGCATGGCTTCCATTCAGAAGTTGTGTGCACCGAGATTGTTCTTTCTAGTTTGTTTACCATCTGATTTCTTAAGTCTACCTCATGAGTATTGTGTTTTTGCTTTCTTAAAAAACATTTGAAGACACATTTTAAGATAATTACTGTTGTATCATGCTTTTTTTTTTTGTATGTGTTATGTTGTTGGACATAACAGTATTTACTTTTTTTTTTTTTTTCTTAAACTAAAGAGGTTTTTTTTTTTTTTTTTTTGCTGAGGTTGTATTTTCATTGTTGTACTTGATTCATAATGACAGCTGGCTGATATATGGATTTGTTAATCCATCAGGTTTTCGTTTTGTAACTAATATTTATGTATGAATGTGTTTGAGTGAATCCCCAACATTTATATTTATTTGCAACCATTTCAAAATTATTAAACCTTTTTTTAAATCAAAATAAAATCTATTTTAAAACAATGGAAAATGCAAACTTTTTTTTTAACCAGGATCTACTTTTAGCCCTAAGATCCTTTGTGAAAAAGTAAGTCATGATTTTTGGGCACCACAAGCCAAGTGCCATCTTCTATAATTAACGCATACCAAAAGAATATCACACTGCCATTGACTTCAATACATAATTTTTCCTAAATAAGGTCCACCGGAAGGGAGGGACTTCGCCACTCTATTGACTATTTAGTTTTTAAAAAATACTCAAAGTGAGGAAGGCTGTCACATTTATCCAGAGTCCAGAAGTTACCACTTGCACTGAACTCCAGCTTGTGGGAACATACATTCAATGTTCTTACTGATGTCTAAATTTCATACATATTTTATATATAGTGCTCACATCATGGCTGCAGGATACCAATTACAGTTTTACGAAAAAGATTGTTACATTTAGCTGACTATAGTCTTTGAGTGGCATTAGTACTTGTACTTAATTCACTACTGATTATTTATGGTGGAATGTCACTGTGAGAAAATGGGGACAAGCCATTTCTATCTTTGCCTACATGATGTTTTTGTCATTTATTTACCAGCTAAACAAACGTTGAACATATTCCTCTCCACACTCTGTTTCCATAGTTACACACTGACACTCTCCAACTGTTACTGTGTTAGTGTGAATGTAAAACATGGACAGAAATGGCACTTAAGTTGATTGCTACTGTTAACCACAGACAATGGTCAGTTATGTCCTTAGTTATGATGACCTCAGAAGTAATGCAGACAAGAGCAAGCTCTCAGTTTTAGTATTACTTGACTTAAGTGCTGCTTTTGATACAGTATCATACAATTTTAAGTAGACTGCACCATCTTGATGGCATTTCTGGTATGGTTTTTAATTGGCTTACATCTTACCTAACTGATAGACAGTTTTCTATACACATGGATGAATGGTCATCTAAAAAATATCCACTGAATTGTGGTGTTCCCCAAGGCTCAGTTTTAGGTCCTACCTTCTTTTATACATGTTTCCACTTGGAAATGTCATCAGTAAGGCATAGCCATACCTACATGATGACTCAGGACCAATTTATGCAATTTTTCACTGTATTTTAGATATTAAGCATTAGATGGCTGAGCATTTTCCTTAGCTCAACCAGGACCAAACTGAGCTCTTAATTATTTTATACACTTTTTCAGCCAGTTCTGGACCTACCTGTCACTTTTTCCCCTTGTTTTGCAAGGTCTGGAGAGAATGTGTTTTTTCACTTTTTTGACTGGGCTGGACCTGTAGTTATTTCCCTTTTTTGGTGAGGTATGGATCTGTTGTGTTTTTTTACTTTCACAGCAAGGTCCAGAAAAGTCCTTCTTTTTCCTTTTCCGACAGGTCTGGATCATAGACTGTATATATAAAAGGTCTGGATGTGTCACTTCTTTTGCCCTTTTCATCTTTAATGAAGACTTTTCCAAGAAATTAAATTTAGTTTTTATCAGTAAAAATCGGTTTGCTTTACAAACAGCGCCATCCTTAGGAAAAAAGATTCATAACAGAAACATTGTACAACTGAACCAAAAATGGCTCTAATCACTTTTATACTCTTACTCCACTACCCTTGTTTTTACATTTGCAGTTTTCGATTATTAGTACATAATACCAATCAAATAAATAATTGATGATGTATTGTTACAGATTAACCTACCAAGCAGTATAATTACTCAAACTTAGGTCCACATTTCAGCAAAATGAATTTGATGCACATATTTATTCAACAATAACTATAAGAAAGTTATATAATATAAAGGCCATTCTACATACTGATGTACTATACGTTTTTGGACCTTAAGTATAGTTTGATAATGTTTTTGTTCTTTTAATAAAGTAAACATTTGAATGCAGCAGGACTTGTAACAAAGTATTTATTTACTGTTAAAGTAAAATATCTGAATTCCACCATTGCCGCTCAGATAATGAAGGCTTATAATTAATTTTGTTAAACTCTGTTGCAAGTTTGAAACATTTCAGCAGGATTGAGGCAGAAGACTTGATCTCCACAGTGTCATCCCTCCTCTGCTAACAGCGACCTGAAGTTCTTGAGCTCTCTGATGCTTGTAGAAACCCTGCAGGACATTTGTGTTACACAAAGAACAGACATTTAAATTTGGTTGCATATATTCTCACTTCAATTGACTCAAGTTTACTCTGAGGATTACATGTGAAAATGTAATGCGACAACCTTCCAAAGGCGTTGAGCAGGGAGACGACCTCCTGTCGACTGAGCTGGAAGCTGGGTCGCTGGACGTTGGACGTGGGAAGCGCTTCAATTTGCCGCTCGGAAAACAAAATCTTTAGAGATGTTCCTAATCCCTGAGTCTGATTACGGGAGTGAGACAAGGGAACAAATCAGATTAAAATACTTAAAATGGTTTGACAGCATCTTTTACCTTTTGCCCTCACATTATACTGAACATCATTTATACAACTGATGTAAAATGTGACCGGCCTGCAGTTTCCCCCACAGGCGACACTTGAAGCAGCCCACACAGTCCATGATCCTGGAGATGTTGAGGAAGGCCAGTCGGATGTCCTCCTGAAGGACACACAATTGATCACTTTGAGGGCCAAATGTTTAAACCTCTTAAGCCCCACGGACCCGGTTCCGGGGCCGAAATCGCGTCATTTGCTGGAAACAACGTCTAAGGAACCTTAATATTTAATAAACTATGAATATTTTATATCCATATAACGGGAAAAAACTCATTTAACTGATCTTTTTAAAAAAAAAAAACAAAAAAAAAAACACAATGCTAACAGTGAGCCTCTGAATTAGCCCAGAGCGAAAAATGCTAACCTATTACTGCACCGAAAATAACTCCTAGCTCCCTTATTACTTATCCTAGCTGCACATCCAACACATCGTTTATGATCGTAAAGACACAGAATCTAACGGTGCCCACCTCAACACTGAAAGATACACACTTGCAAAGTTATCAACAAAAACGTAAATCAAAACAAGTGGCGCTAGGTAGCTACACAATGCTAACATGGCTTACCTTTGTCTTTGTCTGGTCTAAACTGGTCTTCAATGGCATTAAAACGATAACAACGATGATGTAGTTAATCCATAGGTTAATATCCAATGTGGCTTTGTCCCCTTTGAAATGTTCTGATAATCTATAAGCAATAAAACTGCAATTCCGTTTTAAAATAGTAGAGCAGGCCATTTCCTACGCTCTCATTGAATGCGTGAAGACGTCACCTTTTCTTTTAAACATGAGTGTGTGCGGGACGGTTTCCCTTCGATTCTATTGGCTCTAACGATCAGAAAGAGATGTCACATGTCAAAACCGAAGAAGGGGGCCAGAGATAAGGAAAATCCACCCAAATGGCCCCAGAAGAGGTTTTTTTCTGCCAAATCTGTCTAAAAAGGTCAAATATCACTTGTTTTGCATCAATCTTGATACAGGGTACTTATTATATGTTGTACTTTGGATTCCTAAAGCTTTTAGTCTACTAACCCATCATCCAAGGTTAGTTTTCACTGTAAGTACAAAGTATTCTTTGGACGGACACTATAATTTACAGTTCTTTAGCATGTTCAATCTGAATTTTTTTTAAAATAAAAAACATCTAGATTGATTCTGACTTTTCTACATCCAACTCATAGGTTTATCATTACTTTGAGAAAAAAGATTATTAATTTAACCCTTTTAGAAGGGAAGATATGGTCATTTGTTCTGGGAATGTCATTTTCGAGCCTGAAACCTGAAAAACAAGCTTGGGGCTTAAGATTAACAACGTACTTCAACTTCTAATTTTGGGAAAAACGAAAAATAT